ACAAATTCTCACCCAACAAAACCATTTTCTGCAATAATGTAGACCAGTGGTTCTCAAACTGTGGTACGCGTACCACTAGTGGTACGCGGAGGAATCGCTAAATAATGAAAGAAACAATTAACACTTTTAATCCTTTAATGTGTAATATAACATCGATGTGATCAGCATTGGCTGTTTTGTGAAGCGTACGATCACAACGCTGTGCTTAGAGTGTTTATTTTAGTGCATTGTGTCATAAGCTGCTGAAAATCAGTTTCCGAAATTTAAGAATTGATTCAGAAGCGTGATTTGACTGACATGAAAAGTGGCCAATCACAGTCGACCTTGTCTAGTTGCGTGAAACGTAAGGGCGGGACAAAGGCTTTCTGTGTTGCAGAGACAGAAAAAACAACTTAAAAACAAATGTTTTGTTGGAATTATACTTCTCGGATGTTTTCACTACAGAGATGTCTAGCAGAGTAATTAAACCGTGGACATATTTCCTGCCTATTTGATGATCTTCATACACGTTTCGCTCTCCGACAGCGAGTCGACTCGCCTCTGACCTGTCACTCCTCCAAATACATTAGGTGCGTTCGACTTCATGCAGCGCTGCGCAGATCGATCGAAATCTGTCTTAAAGCGGTGCATTCTGGTTAGAAATCTTGTCCGGATTGATGCTGCGCCGATGCCACGTGACTGTCACATGTGGCATCAAAGTACCGCGACAGCGCTCCGGGATCAGACGGCAAACTCAGACCGTGCAGCTTCTGAAGAGCGACTGCAGGAGCTCTGATGACGACACCGATATTACACGATTGGCCGAGTTCACCACATGACAACAAACACGTGTATTTCGGGTTTATAATTGGACAAATTCCGATTCAAACGTTTCAAAACAAACAATTCACTTTTCACACCCTCTCTATCCTGTACACATCTTGCTTATTAAAAGACTACAAATATTTTACTGCAGTAATCATCTTTTGTTAAATAGTCTGGTTATAAAGGTTAGCTTGTTTGCACAGGTTTATTTTTAATTTTAACTTTTTATACAGACTATTTACTGCATTCATGAACGATTTAAATGATGTATTTAGTGTATATTTTAGTGAATAACCTAAATAAGTCTTCTATCTATAAATGTACACATATGTAAACCCTTTTTTTAGCATATTCAAACAAGAAGTATTAGCCCAAAGATTGATGTTTAACTCCTAGAATTTATGCTTATTGCTTTGTATTTAATAGACCTGTTCGTTTTTATGTTTATATTAACCTCTCATTTCCTCTTATTTCTCTCATGCATTTGTTATATATTTTATTCATAATTCTCTCTTATTGTTTAAAAAAGAACTACAGTTTGTAGAAACTGTATTCTGTTTTATTTGTAAATGTTTTGTTGTTATAAATAAAAATAACAAAAAAATATGATGACGCCATGTGATCTGTCATCATGACTGCAGCAACTTTGAGTCCCGAGGTGTCCAGCTGTCCGTCTTGACGGCTCCGTCTTCAACTCCGCCCCCGCCTGCGCTCGACTAATCTCGTTGATCACCGGCTGCAGCTGAGCTTCATGTCGAACGCACCTTTTGAGTCCCGAAGTGTCCAGCTGTCCGTCTTGACGGCTCCGTTTTCAACTCCGCCCCGCCTGCGCTCGGCTAATCTCGTTGATCACCGGCTGCAGCTGAGCTTCATGTCGAACGCACCTATTCTGAATGGCGGCGCGGGAATGGAGGTATTGCGCAATTACTAATTTCTGCAAATGAGGCGAGTGCTTTATTTTAACACGAGAGAGCGCATTCATGTACGCAAATCGCTAAAACAGATATGTGAGCTCTTAAATAGGCTTTTTTCAAATGAACTGCAAGTGCTCTCATGATCGCCTGTGTGCTCAGATAGAATACAATCGCGATCTCTCCACTATTAAAGTAGACATTATTTATCTTTGCTCCTTAACTAAATTTAGTCAAAAGTATTCAAAGTTATCAAGTATTTAGAAATAGATTGATACATGATCGATGACAATGCTAATGGTCTTCTTATTTGGCTGTGTTGTGAAGTGAAACTTACTTTTAGCAAAGGTGGAACATTTTTTATTTCTTTACGACAAAATAATTATGCTGGAAATGTTTCTGGATGAGGTATTTGTGTGATTTATACATTTAGCTGTATTCTGATCTGTGTTAAAGCATTACAGGTCAAAGCATTCCATTGTTAGCCTTCTTATTGTTTATTTATCACAATTTACAATAAGGCTCTTAAAGCACTGCTTTGATAAATGTAGTGTCGTCATATTTCAAATACCTCAAGTAAAATGAAGTCATTTGTTTTATTTTTTTACTGACAGTGTACTTGTATTTTTTTACGTTTCTATTTTAGATTAAGATCAAGTGTAAAATAAAATCTACATGTGATGTACAGCTATTTAAGAAACAGATTTGCCATATTGTAAAGAAAAATAGTGTAAAATATGTAAATAAAAGGCTAAATTTAAATCTTTTTACCATATACTTTAATTTAACCTTTCAACGCTTAAAAATATATATTTTTAAAAATGGGCAAAAAGTGTCTCTATGGCCTTAAAGATTATTTGGTAGTTTTACCAGTGCTATTGAAAAAGATTAATTGTCATGAAAGGAAAAATTGACTATACTTCCTTTGTTAGTGCAAATTATACATGTAGCTTTGGGATGTAAGCAATCAAACCATTAAATCAGGTTTACACTTAAAAAAAATGTGATTTCATAATGAAAATCAGATTTTTAAAAAAAAGTAACCAACTAGTACTTTTTAAAAGAGTAATTTGTACTTTTACCTAATATTAGTATTATTTACTAAAATTTGTGTTATTTTAGCAGTGTAATAGTATTTTTACTTGAGTACAAAAAAGATTTCACAAGCACTTAGTGCAGGTTTATTATATTATTAATATATGATTAATAAATATTATTATTAATGGTTTTTATTTGTATCTATTCCTATGCAATGTTTTATGGGTTGCTGAGAATACATTTCAGGTCTTCAATACATAGCATGTCAGTCTTGAAAAAAAAATAGGTGCTGGAATTGATTTTCATTAGGCTGTGCCTGTATGAACCCTGTCATGTACATTTAACATTTATTTCAAGATTTGTCTGAAAGTGTATGAATATGACATATAGCCTATATTTATAAGGTCCAAGCAGCATTTCCAGCTTTTGATGAATAGGCTACTATGAATACTTTAGATTTAAGTACAGCAGTTTTCTTTTTACTTTTTAAGAACAGCACCATTTTTTTATGAACTTTTAAAAGCACATTTTAACTAAAACTTTTTTTTTTTATCTGCAAGCACAGTTAATGTTCAGACTATTTCAAATGTTTAAAGTGACTGACAATAATACATATTCTTACTAATAGGAAGTAATCTGCATCGTTTTAAAACTGTGCACACCTGTAGCTGCTTAATTAGGCTTAGGACGCTATTTTTTAATACTGGTTAAAAAATAGCGTCGTAAGGTGGTACTTGGAGAGACGATTTATTTCTAAGGTGGTACTTGGTGAAAAAAGTTTGAGAACCACTGATGTAGACATTAAGATAAATAATAAATCTTTTTTTCTGGGATAAATAGTTTAACAAAAACATTATTTTTGTTTCTGATCTTTTTAACAGTAACGGGGATCTTTTAACTTATGAGAGTTTTATAAACATTTATCAATTCCCTGTTCGCTTTATTATAAAGGCTATAACTAGTGGACTATGTCTGATGAAAGCAGCTCTTAATTATGAGGCAGCTTCCAAACAATTGTCACAGTTACACCTAGGAGGAAGATCTAGTCTTAGTAAATAAAGCAATAATAAGTTTATACATCAAGTGTCGCAGTCACATAACGCAATCACTCCTAGAGGAAAGTTTAAAGGTTCCATAATTGTTAATATTCAATGGAGGAAAACATGATTATCACCATATAAATTATGCATTCCTAATAAAATGAAAGAGGTGCACTTTAAATTTTTATTGTAATGCACTTTTATCCAAATATTGTGATGTTACTGATATTTGCACATTTTGTAAGAATGAATGTGAAGACATTTGTCTCTTCTTTTTTTCTTGCGATGTATCATCACTGTTTTAGGATGATTTAAGTTCATATTGTTTTTCCAAGGTTAATATGAGTGGTAATTTGTACCTTAAGGATGTTATTTGTTATTCTGAAAACCAAAACAAGTCGCTAGAAGCCACTGTGAACTTTCATAAACTTGCTGGGAAATTTTACTTTCACAAACAGCGGTTCCTTAAAAAAATCCAATCTTTATAGACTTCCTGTGTGAAATAGAACATTTAATTAAATCTCTCAGATTAATTGAGAATCAGAAATGTGCTTCTTTCTTGAGCAAATATGATGAGATCTTTCATGCTACTTGAATATTTATCTCTTTTTTCTTTTATCTTTTTACATTTTTATATTATTTTTTTATTCTTTTATAAATTGTGTTCTATTGTTGCTCTTTATCTTGTGTATGTAATGTGATTATTGTGTAAAAGAACTGTTATCTTTTACTGTATTCTAAGTTGTATTATACAGTTTCTTGAAGTTAATTAAAAAAAGAGCCGCTTCAAGCAGAAACACGCCTTTCATTGGTCTCCTGTCACATGAGTGTGGATGCTGCCAAGTCCATCAATTCTTCATTACTGACTAAATAAAGTTGCACTAGAATTTCCTTATTAAATAATCTGCATAAATAAAAGAATTAATTAATTTAAATGGCAGAAAATGATTATCTAAAATTTATAAGAGCATTACAAGACATTTAAAAATGATATAAGCTACTTATTTATTGAGCTCCAGAGAGGGGGAGCATGAGCTGTCGCTCCTCCTCCTGTAAGCTGTTTTAATGCGTACACCAACCCCACCCCTAACCCTACCCCCAGTGACATCACTCGTAGAAGAAGTGCAAAAAAGGTGGAGCTCAAGCTTAAGCTCCCCCTCTCTGGAGCTCACCTCTCCTCAAATGGCTCTGCAGCGAGCACCACTTGGGGTTTATTTCTATTTCTGCATTAGACTGTCCTCTAGTGGCGGAGTTTATTATGACGCACACAGGAAGTGTCAGAGCTGAGAGGAATCGAAAGTTTACTCAAATACCGTAAGTAATTGTCGGTGTTGGGTGTGTTGAGTCGGTGTCTCTGTATGAGCAGTAAAATGGCAGAATCCAGTGTTTCTTGGGCTCATCATTTCAGCTGTTCGGTGTGTCTGGATCTCCTGAAGGATCCAGTCTCCATTCCGTGTGGACACAGTTACTGTATGAGCTGCATCACAGACTGCTGGAATCAGGAGGATCAGAAGAGAGTCTACAGCTGCCCTCAGTGCAGACAGACCTTCAGCCCCAGACCCGCTTTAGCTAAAAACACCATGCTGGCTGAAGTGCTGGAGAAACAGCAGAAGAGCAAACTACAAGCTGCTGGTCCTGCTCAGAGTCCCGCTGCATCTGGAGATGTGGAGTGTGACGTCTGTACTGGAGCCAAAAACAGAGCCGTCAAGTCCTGTCTGGTGTGTCTGAACTCTTACTGTCACACTCATTTCCAGCTACATCAACAACTGAATCCGGGAAATCAACACAAAGTGATTGAAGCCACTCATAAACTGCAGGAGATGATCTGTCCTCAACACAAGAAACTCCTGGAGATCTTCTGCCGCACTGATCACTGCTGTATTTGTTATCTGTGTATGGTGGATCAACACAAACACCATGACACTGTTTCAGCTGCAGCAGAGAGGACTGAACTACAGGTATGAACACACTTATGCTCAATTATTAATAATGTCTCTTCATTTCTCCACTTTTAAAGCTGTTTCTCTGATCTTCTCTCCAGCAGACACATGTAATAGACTTTGGTCAGGATGGTGTCATATTAATGTTTGACAGGAATTAAAACACCTGTGAGGGACTAAAGTACAGTGTGTTCAGTGAATTACTGTTTAATTGACTAAATCCCCGTAAAATCCCACATTCACCAATAATACAGCATTACAGATTCTACATCACAGAGCTCAACAGTGTTTTATATCAACAGGTTGTTGTGAATGAAATATAAGCTAAATCATAATGAACTCTGGGAGCAGCAGTGATGTGTTTAGAGTTTTATTTTAAGCTGTTTAATGTCGACCTCTGCATAAACAGATGAAGCTTAATGAAAGTATATCGCTGTTATTTCCACTGTAAGAGCTGAGTGGTATGACATGATGGATAAATGTGCATTAAACATTCACAGTCACCGGCCACTTTATTAGGTACAGCTTACTAGTACCGGGTTGGACCCCGTTTGCCTTCAGAACTGCCTTAATCCTTCATATCATAAATTCAACAAGATACTGGAAATATTCCTCAGAGATTTTGCTCCATATTGACATGATAGCATCACACAGTTGCAGCAGATCGTCTTGACCATGTCTACATGCCTAAATGCATTGAGTTCTGACTATTACAGCTTTACAGTGACGTTTATTTAACTCTTGTTCACTGTGAATCCTGCAGAGTCGGCTGAGGGAAACCCAGAGCAGATTCCAGCAGAGACTCCAGGAGAGACAGAAGGAGCTGGAGGAGCTGAGAGAGGCTGTGGAGTCTCACAAGGTGAGTTTGAGCAGAAGAACAGCAGCTGAAGAGGCCTTTCACACTCCAATGCTTCTGTGTGTGTGTGTGTGTGTGTGTGTGTGTGTGTGTGTGTGTGTGTGTGTGTGTGTGTGTGCGTGCGTGCGTGTGTGTGTGTGTGTGTGTGTGTGTGTGTGTGCGTGTGTGTGTGTCTGACAGCGCTCTGCACAGGCCGCAGTGGACCACACCGAGAGGATCTTCACTCAGCTCATCTGCTGGATTGAGAGAAGCCGCTCGGAGCTCACGCAGATGATCAGAGATGGAGAAAAGACTGCAGTGAGTGGAGCTGAAGAACGACTGGAGCGACTGGAGCAGGAGATCAATGATCTGAGGAGGAGAAACGCTGAGCTGGAGCAGCTTTCACACACAGAAGATCACATCCATTTCCTCCAGGTGACACACAGGACAGTGGAAGAGCATGTGGAGCAGAGATTGTGTTTGTGTGTCTTCAGCTGCTGTTTCTGTTGTGTCTGTGTAGAGTTTGCAGTCTCTCTCTGTCCCTCCTGGATCTACAGACTCATCCAGCTTTATTAGCAGCTCGCAGCTCGCTTTTGATCAACTTGCTGAATCTGTGTCTCGTCTGAGAGACAAACTGCAGCAGTTCTGCACTGAGGAGATGAAGACCATATCTAGCAGAGGTCAGATTTATATTTCCTGACATGTTTCAGATGATTTTAAATGTATTTGTATTGTTTAACAATGTTTACTGTAAATCATCTGTTTGTCTCCACAGTGAGCAGCATTAGCAGGATTCCCGCTCCTGAAGCACAGACCCGTGAGCAGTTCCTCCAGTGTAAGTGACTCTGATCATACTGAACATTAAAGATTATAGTTATATATTGTGTTGGATTCCTTCATATGAGGCAGAGAGTCTCTGATGGCTGTAATGTGTTTTATTCTGGAACCAGCAGAAACAGTGAAAACTAGAAGTAAACACACAAATCAGCACAAAGCAGATTGATAATGAACTCTGACACCTTTACAGTTCATGATCAGGCGTTTGTGTACAGTGAACAGTAGATGAGCTGTGTAAAGTCACAGATAAACAATAATTGGCTCAGTTAACAGTTTCAAAACAAAACTTACACACCTCACTCCGCTCACCAAGGGCTGCTACAGTAGCTTTAACACGTGTAGTGATGTTCACCTGGCTAAACAGCACACACACACACACACACACACACACATGTAAACAGGAGACAGTAAAACACACACGCTTATAATGCTCATCATCACGATTGCAGGACTTGCATTAACCAGCATATGTCACTGGAATATATCACTGAGCTCCTGAGACGAGAGCGTTCTGATGAGTGAGATGTTGTGTGAGGTTTCGGGGTTTTGCTCAAAGCCATTAACCTGAATGAGCTGACTGAGAATGAAACACCTATAATGAGCTCTTGTGGCCATTTCCATCAGGGCTGGACTAGGGCAAAAAATCGGCCCTGGCATTTTGGGCCAGAGCAGCCCACTACATTCAATGCTATCTATCTATGCACATACAATATTTTTATCAACTCATATTCTATAAAACACAAAAGCCATATATATATATGAAATAAATAAATAAATACAAACTTTAATCTCAATTTAATTTCTGTATACTGTCTATAAAGATATTTGTTGAGTTCTAAAAAATACACTATTCATTATTTTTCTTCGCATAAGTCCCATATTTATCAGGGGTTGACCCAGTGGAATGAACTGCCAACTATTCCAGCATGTTTTATGCAGCAGATGCCTTGCCAGCCACAACCCAATATTGGAAATCACCCATACACACTCATTCACACACACTCATACACTACAGCCAATTTATCTTATTCAATACACTATTCACTCAGCCTATATTCAATAATAAACATAACAAAAACTGCCTGCTAATGCATCGGTAAATCTTCAAAGGGAACAGTGTACTTTATAACCTCTTTCACCTCATCCTGCTTGCTGTTTCACTATCTAAACAATGAAAACATAATATAAGGAAATTTGTTTCATTTTGATATTATGATTAACAGACACCAAACAGCCTTGTGTAGCTGCATATTTATATGACCGTCATCTTCACTCTGCATATTTATAACAAAACAGGGCTTAAATATAACTGCCTCCTTTCATTTTCATTGAAAAAAACAACCTTTACCCCGTCTCTTTTGCAGTATATCAGTTTTAATAATCAATAATGGCCATTATAACAGTATAACGTACAATAAATTTATAGGATAAAGGTAAGCAATCAGTCAATGTGCAGAATCAGTGTATGTTACATAAATTAATATATTAGCTTATCTTTGCACTCAGCCAATACAGTTACCTGTGAACAAGCGAATTAGAAGACATAAGAGTTGTTAGATAGACAACAAAATTAATTCAATATCACGTTTAACAACTATAGTGAGATGAGATCATCCAGCACCAGCAGATGAACTGTCTGACATGCACTATACTCTCACCCGGGGCCTCATGTATGAAGACTTGCGTGGAAATCTTACTAAAACATTGCGTATGCACAAAGCTGTAAATGTGCGTACGCAGAAAAAAATTCAGATGTATGAAACACTGCGTACGCCGAATCTCACGCATATTCTTTTGTACATCTGAATGAACGTGAAACTGAGCGCAACATGCACGAGCACAAAACCCCTCCCTGCCTCCTCCCCCGTATGAATATGCTAATGACTCTACTTTGGCAAAACCCAACGAAAAAGCAAAGGCAAAATCAAGCAAAAAAGAGAAACTCTGAACAGAATATGAATTGGAGGTGCTGTTTTCGGAGGTAGACTGGAGAAAAGCGATGTTATTTGCAAGTTTGTTCTCCGGAATTAACAACAAAAGAAAAAAATAGAGTGGGAGAGTTTAGCTGATGCGGTTAACACAGTTAAGTCTGAACATCGCACAGTGGAGTTAAAAGAGAAATAGTGTGATTTATAAGTGTAAAATGTTGTAGTTCCCTAAACAGCATTAGTGGCGCAGCTCGTAAAACGCATGTTAACATGTTTTGACACATTCGAGCATGAACTCGGTTCGAATCCAGCATCTGATGTACTCAGTCTTCTTTTTTTCCCCGCTACATATCAGATTTTGCCTACTATTTATCAGGAGAAAGACAAGTAGGAATCATTAATAAAGCTGTGCATCATATTTGCACATTTATTGAATGGAAATGTTTCTGATTCACGCATGCAAATTCATCTTCAGGTGGTGCCTTTATAGCAATGTGCGTGCAGTAGATCGCTCCCATTACAATGGGAAAACAGGCGACCGCTGCAAATTGTGCTTTAATGTTTGGCTGGTCAACTGTATGGTATGGAAATTGTAACAGAAATTAGCTCATTTTATGAATATTAATAATCAACAATAACGGTTTATTCTTAATTATTAATATTCTGGCTTAAGCTTCAGTCAATCTGGTCAAACAAACATATGATTGTATATGATCCTGCCCGATCGACCAAGCGGATTCTCAGATTATGAATATTAATTATCAACAATAACAAATTATTATTAATCATTAATATTCCGGATCAATTTATTGTCAGTTTGACCAAACAAACACAAGCAGAGCCGCCGCTCTTCCGAGCAGACACGGTAATGATCCATTCATTCAGAAAAAGGGAATTTAATTGCTACTTCTTGTGAAGTAGATTAATCATTTATAAGTTTTAATGAACTTATAACCGCTAGGCAGGGGAATCTGTATTTCAGTGACATTTTCTCGTGAGGCAAACAATACAATTCATTTGATTATAATGGAATTTATTGACTAGTCAGACAGATAACGAACAAAACGCACAAACATACATTAAACACAGAACAAAGGTAAAACACATGGAGATAACGGGTCTATACGGGACTATAAAACATGTACAAACAGAGAGAGATGGCAAAGCGCGGAAATATAGAGTTCAGATAGAGTGGCAAAATCTGGTTTCAGTTCCACAAACACCATTAAGTATCACCAAGATTATAAAAAACACCTTTTTGATAAAAGGGGCACAGCTTATTTGCATAACTAAAATACCTGGACTTTCATGTCTGGAGGTCTCTCTTTTTATGCGGGTCTCTTCCTGATGAAACTCCTTTGATGTCCTTCTTGATGGGTTGAGTTTGTAATACAGTTCGGACGAACACGATCGCAAACTTTAAACTGAGTTTACTTTGCCGGAAAATAAGAAAGCCTGGCGGGAAAGTCCATGCGGCGTAGAAAAGCCGCGTGGCCCTCAAAGGGGCCACCGTCGATGATGTTCTTTGTTCGGACTACTCTCCAGGATGTTTGGGGAGAAGTCTGGTTATACCTGCGGGTCACGTGACAACCCGTTCAGCATTCTGACCAATGATTTCAGGGGAAAGTTTGAGCGCGAATCCTTCCTTTGTCTCGAGGCTGCTCATATGCAAATTTGAGTGTCCGCCCAAAGCATGCGGACAGGCATTTAATACAGGGATTTAAAGAATAAAGCAATGCGAGTTATGATCTTGCTCTATGCATCATGTGTTGTAAAATGTCAGCAGAAACCCATCTGTACCAAACATGGGGGGTTTAAAAGTACATCAACATGATTTTTCCCATCCTCACATTATTTATGCTTTAAAAAGGCCTAAAGGGACCACGCATACAGGTTATATGAGGGGTTATACAGGTAAGAAAAGTCAGAAATGAGATACGAAGTTTGCAAACATAACATTTTAGTTCCCCTTCGGGGGGAACTTCAGCACTATAAGTGGATTTGATTTGTAAAATCCACGCATTGGGAGGATTCGGATCAGAAGCTGTTGTCTGGAGAGTATTGAACGGGCCAATGAATGAAATTAATTGGCAGCGTAAGCTTGCGCAGGTGTGCGACATCTGCAATTATCTCAGCATATAAGCACACCTGAAGCCAGCAGACGGCATCCTTTTTGCTTCAGATCCTTTCTGAGTGAGTCGATGAGGGTTCCTCTTGCTGATCAGCACTTCAGAGCGAACGAGTGTGTCTCCCGGTCCAGAGTGGGTCTTCGCGGTGGCAGACGGTCGAGCTGGGTTACTCCCTTGCCTGCGGTTCTTTGGGTCCGGTCCTCCAGAGCGGTGCGTATAGTTGCAAACTTTCCTAAAAGAGCAACACAGTCGTGCAGCACGTCCTTTTCAGGATGGCGCTCCGACTGTGCGTTTCTGGATGCGGGGGTTTCCTGGCTCCGGATGATGGACACGATCACTGCATTGCATGTTTGGGGGTCCAGCATGTTAATGCGGTGCTCGCGGGCGGTTCATGTCGTCATTGCGATGCCATGACCGTTGCACAGCTAAGATCGCGGCTAACTTTCGTAAGAGAGCGAGCCACCCCAGTTGCCTCCTGTTCTAAAAAAGCAGCGGGCGCTCGGGCAGATCTGAGGGTTTCAGCGGGAGATAATCCGCCGCCCACGGGCTCGCGGACCTCTCGCTCCTCACGGCGCTCCATCCAAGCTTCGGGTGGTGAGAGTGATCCGTCTAACCAGATGGTAGCTCTCACACTCGCTAACACCGGAGATCAGATGTCCTCCGCGGCATCGGAGGGTGGGCTTTCACTGTCCGACGAAGATCCGGACCCGCTCGCCCCCTCCGGGCAGGTGAGCGCTGTCAAATCGGATCCTGAAGCGGACATGTTAGCCGTGCTTTCCCGGGCTGCTTCGGCCGTGGGGTTGGAGATGGTTTATCCCCCAGCTCCGCGGCCGGACCGACTAGATGGGTGCTACGTAGAGGACCAGAAGGCGAAGCCTTTGAAGCCTCTCGTCCCCTTCTTCCCGGAAGTGCACAGTAGGCTCACGCAGTCTTGGAGGGCA